TTAGATAAAACATTTAGAAAATTAAATTTAAACTATATGAGTATTAATGATGTTGATGATAGAGCACACCTGCTATGTAGAAAGGACCATGTTAACTAGCCTGTATATGGAACATGTATGAATCTCAGTCCAGCTGTGCCAGATAGGATGCATTTTTAAAACATTTAGCCTGAAATCAGAGCTCAGTGGGCTGGTGAGAAGCTAAGCTTCAACCGTGCTTGCCTTCCGTGGTCTTCATATTGAGTCACGGAGGCTGCACGCGCTTTCACCTCTGCCACATGTCGCTTCCATGGCCAGGGCCCCCTTTGGAGGAGCTAGAAGCCCCAGGCCCTGATCCCATCTGCCTGCTGCCCCTCACGATGGTTCTGCGGTCCCAGCACGGCCTTACAGGGCTGCCATGGCGTGCGGCCCGGCTTTGCCTGGCACCTGGAACCCACGGACCCTCCCCTCCACTTCCAGCATTGGCTCCGTGTAGAAAACATCCCGCTTTCCCGAACCCATAGCCATTTCAGTGTATTCCGGTTCACGGAAAGAAGTCAGAACGAGGTTAGTGTGCTCGGTGGCACAGAAGTTGAGGCAAGAACCGTGGAGCTGGTGAGCTGTGTGAGTGCGGCCTGAGGGACAGGAGAGAGACAGAGAAAGAATAATGTCGTGGTTTAAAAATTATCTTGCCTCACTCTTTAGGAGAACTGTGTGCATTCTCTCCAGTTGAGTCTCCATCCGCTGATTTGTTTTCTCTCGGTTGATCTAACCCACGATACTGCTGGTCAGTGGTTTGTGTGACGGTCACGACTTTCTACTGACACAAAGTTGGACAGATTTGCCTTCCGCAGTCTCAGTGATCCAGGTCTCTTGGCTTCACACACGTCTCCTGGAGGCCATGCCTTGTATCATCCGCCTGTGATACGCCACGTCGGACCAGGCAGAACCGGTCCCTTTGGTCAGTTACTGACCAGCCCCATGGGGTTCATGCTACCACAGGCCATACACTCTCAGTGGGCGCCGTATCTCCCCCAAGTGGGTGAAAATTGGTCGGTGGGCGGAAAAACATCTTCATTTTCATGTATAAAGGATGGATAACTGTAGAACCGATAAATACATAGTATGTCTCTGGTATTAAAATTTCATGGGAGGAGATCTGTTTCTTTCAACAAGGAAAGCAGTGTTGGGAGTCAGTGCCGTGGGTGTTAGGAAAGGACGAGAACCACATTCGCGGACAGCCTGCTAACGGGCCCGGCGCAGTTCCCAGCATCGTCTTATCTAGTCCTCCCAACAGTTGTTTGCGGATGAGGAAGCTGAACCTACATGACTTGCCCGAAGCCACACAGTCTGCAGGGGGCTTAGCTGAGGGCGGCGGCCGAGTGTCTTTCCAAAGCCCGGCTCTTCTCGTCCAGCCAGGCTGCGGACTCGAGATCACGGACGTCTCTGCGTCACCGTCCCCACCTTGCATGCTGACCTTGCGGCTGGAGAGCAGGAGCCGGAGAAGACACAGTCGGCTGACAGCACGCGTGTCCCCCGCCCCGTGTCAGCTTCGTGAGGTGCGCGTAGGACGCGGGCTTCCTGCTGCATTTCGTGTCTTAGTTCCACTCGCTGGGGGAAGAAGGAGACCACAGAGGGAGACCACGGTGACCCGGACCTTCCCCGTCTTCCCCCTCCACTTCCCTTCCGCGGGCCGCGCCCCGTGGGAGCGTCCTCCCCCCCGAAGGGACACGCTCTGGCTTTCTCGCCGGAACGTCGCATCCTCCCGTGGGGGCGTAGTGAGCCCGGCGACACGGTTTGGGGCCGAGCCCTGCTCTGAAAGGCAGAGATTTCTAACCCGTTACTCTGACGTCCTCTTGCGGACAGCCGCTGGGCAGCTCCGTGCCGGGTCGCGCTCCAGGTGGTTCTGGAGGAAGGTGGGGGCTCCGCGAGCGGCCCCGCCATCCACACGCACTCTGCGGCCGGCTCCGTGTGGTTCTGTGCTGGGCCGACGTAGGGGCACTTGAGGTTGAAAACTGTCAATGAGGTGACTTTGCTCCTCTGTGGGAAAAGCTGGTCGGTCTAACCCAGCCCCAGCGTGACCGGCATTCAGGGACAGAGGTCAAGGGGGAAGGCAAACGGTGCACTTTCACTGAGGTCTTGTCATGTGAAAGGAGGCACTTTTAGTGGATCAGGTCATTTATTCTTTACAAGACCTTAATATTATCCCCATCTTACACATAAAGAAAATGAAGCACGGGAAATGAGCCGTGGGCCCGCGGCTGACGAGGGTGACTCTTAGTGTCGTGTTCTTCAGGGGCACTCTGGGCCGATTCCTGGGGAGCTCGGGCAGCAAAGCCCCCTTAGCAGGAGGGCGCCACGCCGCCCAGGCCCGGGAGGAAGGGCACGGGCGATTCTCCCGAGAGCAGCCCAGGTCAGCCTCCCCGGGGCATCCGACTCAGGACTGCGAGCTCCTCCTGGCCCCCACGCTGCTGGGGGACAGTGTGGCTTTCACCAAAGAGACTGAGAGTCTCCTAAGGTCATTGGTGCGGTGTTCGCAGTGGTAAGATACCCACAGGAAGACGGAAATCTGAGGAAAAATTAAAGGGAGGCGCAACAAAATCATATGCGTTGTAGCAATAAGGCAGGACAGAGTCAGGAGACCTCCCAGATGTCTCCTTAGTCAATTCACTTCCTTTTTTCTGGACTCCCAAATCTTCATCCATAAAAGGAGAGCGTTAACCAGCTGAGTGTTCCTCCTGCGTGAACAGACTGTGGGAGGAAGGGTCAGCTAAGGGATTTCTTCGTATTTTCGGGAACATCCCTCCTCTCCGGTCCTTGCCGATGACCATGGAACATTTGCCTCTAGATCCTCAGGGATGACCCCCAAGGAGTTGCAGGTGATTCTATCAGGAGCTGCCTGCGAAGGTCCTGGTGTCCGGCCCAGGAAGGAAACAACACAACAGAGAAGCCTTGTACTACGGAATCTGCTTTTTACTAAGGAAGGTCTTATCGGCGAGTGGTCCCTGTCGTGAGGGTCTCTGGCCTTGGCCATTTTCTGTGCTTTCGTAGAAACGCCCTTCTTCACAGGGAGCTCACCAGGGACCCCTTGACTCTAATTTCTGTCAGTACGTCTCCCGGAAGCCAGTCATAACCGTGCAGCTCCTTCGTACACAGGAGAGAGGTCTGGGCATGCAGGAGACCGTCCTTCTCATCTCCATTACCAGCCTCTTCTAAACATCTTACCTATGAGCGCAGTGGAGGAAGGAGGCTAGCAGGTCGCAGAACCGTGAGGTGCGTCAGGCGCGCGGCTAAGTGTTGTTCCCTATAATTTAACATAATCCTCGTAGCAACTCCGGAGGTAGCTGCAGTTTTTATTCAGTTTCACAAACGGAGAGATTAAGGTTTAGGAGATGAATGATTGTGAAAGATGGCAAAACGAGCTCAGATTCTCGGGCTGGTGGACTTGACCCACAGAACCTAAGCTTGTAGCCCTTATGATGCGGTGCTCTCTGGCTGCCCGAGTGGTCCGTCTCCCCCATATTCAGCCCACGAGGGGCTATTTGGCAAGCCAAGACCTGTGGCCATTAAAACTGAGGTATAGTTTTGTTTCTGGTTTTTTTAGACACCTTCCAGGGAGGACGTTTTCCTCCTTCCTTCGTATCTTGGGCAGCTTTTGCCTTGTATCTGACATCCGTCACTTTCTAGACTTCCTGAAAGTCTTCCCTGAACCAGACCGGTTCCTGCTGGGAGTAAGACCGGTTCTTGGCTGCTTCGGTGTGGTTTAGGAGCACGCCTTCTGTGTGGCAAGAAAGCTTACTACTGACCAGCGCTAGGCCCTCTTCTCCAACAGACATCATCCGTGCGTATTTCTCGAGCGCCTACCAACGTCACGGCAGTTTTTGGCTCAGAAACAGGGTGGTGGACAAGGCGGATGGAGCCCGCCCTCACAGAGCGCCGTTCCTGCTGGTCCCTGACTTTCTGATCAATCCCGTCTTCTCCAGCTTTCTAGCCAAACCACCACGCTCCTCTCACGGTTCTTGAGTCAAGATGGGTGTCTGGCAGAATTACCTTAACACCACCTCTATGTGCTCGTCGCCTCCCAGATCGTACAGCCTCGGTCTCCTTTCAGGCCCAGAAGAAGGAGTGAATACCCAGGAGCATGTGCAGAACACGCCCGCGTTCATAACACGCCCTCTCTTCTCAGCGTCGCAAAAGCTTAAGGAGGCAAAGGTCATTACGCTCATTTTCTAATGAGATGTCTGAAGGTCTAGGGCTCAGATCGCAGAGCCTGACAAGGGCTGAGCTTCGGGTGGGAAGTCAGCCACCGTGCTGCTGCCGGTGCCCCTGGTCTGCCTGGAGCACCTGCCTCGGGGAAATGTGGGGAGCAGCCTGGGAGGGGGGTCACAGCCGTGACGGAATTGTAACCCACCACTCCGGGGCTCCTCCGCCTCCAGGCCACCCGCGCAGAACAGGGAGGCAGCCCCACGGCTCCCACATCTGCCTGCACAGTTTCTGCCTGGATTCTCCGCTGTCGCCGTCTCCGAGGCTTCTCTACCGACTGACGGGCAGATCCTGAGTGAACCGGGCAACCAGGTCAAGGCCAGAGGAAGCCAGGCCGAGAAGGAGCTAGATTCAGCTTGGAGAGGATTCTTCTATTCCAGCAAAAGGGTTTTATTCATCTGACTTTCTACCTTTTGTTCCTTTAAAAGCCTCTTTCACCTATAGAAAGTATAAGAAAATCATTACAGTAAAAATTCAGATGCTGAACTTTCTAAACCTACATCTGTAAGTTATTGTAACATTTCAGGTGTGCAGTGTTGCTCCTAAGACACTGTTTTGGCAGGCTTATTTGTGGGGGAATATATCTGAGTTGTCCGAGTTTTGAGTTTGGTGCTAAGTGACCCGTTGTTGGTCCTTTCAGAGAAGGATCTGTGCTTGTGTTTCCGTGTTTTTGAGGTAAGTCAAGGGATGATATCAACCGTGAGTCACTCGAAGGATTTCATATTCACAGAACACGGCCTAAGGGCTATATAAGTCTGGGCATTTGGGGAACTTTGTGCTGAGAAGGAACCGGGTAAGCTGGGTTGAGCCATTCACAAGCTTAGAATGAAGTTTCTTCTGTTGGTGTTGACCGTGCTGGTCACTGCTTCGGGGACGGTTCCCCTGACCAAGTCTGCAGGCTCTAAAGAAGATGGTGGGCTGTTGGCTCAAGTAAGTATTGACCCAGCCTGATTTTTACCTTCAAAATGTATTGCATGAACTTGTTTTATCTTGAAAAGTACTACTTGAAAACTAGTTTAGGAGACGACTTGCTTTTAGCACTCTAGTTTTCTCTGCCAACGAGGAAAGGAGGAGAGGAGTGGTCTGAAACTCTCCCATTGACCCTGTCTCCTAGGTCTCCGCTTCCGGAACGGCTCCACAGGCTAACGCTTCCAGTTCTGAAAATAACGTGACATATGCTCAGGTAAGTACTGACGCTCAAGTGTTGATCCAGCCTGGTTTGTCTCTAAACTTGTTGCACTGAGAGCACCTGGGTAGTTCAGTTGGTGAAGCGTCTGCCTTCGGCTCAGGTCATGATCTCAGGGTCCTGGGGTCAAGTCCCAAGTTGGGCTTGGGCTTCCTGCTTGGGGCGCCTGCTTCTCCCTCTCCCTCCACTTTTGCTCTCACCTTCTCTCTCTCTCTCTCTCTCTACACACACACACACACACACACACACATGCTATTTCTCTCTCTCTCAAATAAATTAATTAAATATTTTTTTTTAAATTGTGGCATTTAACCAGTTCTATCTTGAAAAGTACTAGTTGAAAACCGGCTTAGGAGGTTTCAATTAACACTGTATTTTTCTTTGGCAAAGATTAATGTAGGAAAAGTATTGGAAACAGTGTTATAAAATTGGTGGATGAATTTGTTCCTTTTACTAAAAAGCTTTTACTAAATAAGTTTGGCCAAGGAGAGTTAAATTAGAGTTCAACCTCTGCTCAGTATTTTATAATAATCAGTTAATGCCATTTAATGATCTGAGATTTGAGCAACGGCTTGATTATGTAACCACTGCAGCCTGCCACGATGATTCAAGAATACTTTTTACTTTCTGGCATCCCAGATATTTCTTCATGAGCCTGTTTTAAAAATAGGGTTTTTTTCCATTTGTTTCATTTCACTAATTACATGAGTCCGGATGATCTCCCTGTTCTCTAAGATTCTTTTAACTTTGCATTTGCCGTAGTTGCCCATTGTGTTCAGCTTTGGATTTTTTTTTTAAGATTTTATTTATTTATTTGACAGACAGAGATCACAAGTAGGCAGAGAGGCAGGCAGAGAGAGAGGGGGAAGCAGGCTCCCCGCTGAGCAGAGAGCCCGATGCGGGGCTCAATCCCAGGACCCTGGGATCATGACCTGAGCCGAAGGCAGAGGCTTTAACCCACTGAGCCACCCAGGTACCCCGAGTTTTGGATTTTTAAGCAGGAAAATTTCATCCCAACTTAAATCAATAGTTTGTGCATCCTGACAGTAAAGGTTTTGCTGCTTACCTGATGCTGTGATGGGCCAGATGCTGGAACAGATTTTAAAGAATAGAAACAAGTTCAAAGAGATAGACACATAAAGGTGTTTCCAGGGCCTTCCAGCAATCAGTGCTGCTAACAGTCTCTGACTCACAGTGACAACACCAAGAACTAGGATTTTTTCTCATGATGATGAATTGTCTGGAGCCTGTTTCAGAAGCACCAAGCTGCAGCTGTGTCAGCCACGCTGAGCTCCATCAGAAGCCCTTGCATGAGTGACAATGTCCAACTCAATGTATTTTTTCCAGTGGTACCTGGAAAACTTTTATGGTCTCGTGATGGACAGACTTCCAACGACAAAAATGAAAGTCAGCAGGGACTTCATGGAGGATAAAATTCAGGAAATGCAACAGTTCTTGGGACTGAAAGTGACTGGGAAACTGGACCCATCTACCCTAGACATGATGCACACGCCCCGATGCGGGGTGCCCGATGTCCATCATTTCAGGACGATGCCGGGGAGACCAGTGTGGAGGAAACGTTTAATTACCTACAGGTAACACGGTAGCTGTGTGCTTTTCTGCCTTCCCTTAGGTCCCACCTCCAGAAACCTGAACCGTTTCAATAAAGCCCTAAGTCTGGAGGTAGATAAGAAGCCTCCTCTTCCAGCGCTGTCCCTGCATGAAAATTCATTCTTTCTGGAAGGGGGGAATTGTCCACTCAAGGAGGAGTTGTTTGTCAGTCCAGAGCAGAGTAGAAAGGTTGCAGATAAAAGGAGAATGAAGCTAGATCTCTAACAAACAAGAGACAAGAGAACATTTTATAGGACAGGAAAGACAGAGAAATGAAGAGGCTGGGGAGTGAGGGTAAAAGGCATACGCTTCCGTGAACGTCAGTCCTCCACAAAGAAAACCCATCAATCACGAATGAGAAGAAATCCAGTTAGATTCTGGTTAAGGAAGAAGCTGTCCAGGGATACACGTTTTTGTAGCTAATGATGCAGGTTTTTGTTACCTGGACTATTGATTTGCGAAACGATTCTTTCTCTGCCAGTGCAGGCAAAAACGAAGTGTCACAATGAGACAGAATTAACACATGGTTTCTCTCTCTCTCTCTTTGTTTTGCTGGTGAAGAATCAATAATTACACTCCTGACATGCGGCCTGCAGATGTCGACTTTGCCATCCAGAAGGCTTTTCAAGTGTGGAGTGATGTGACCCCCCTGAAATTCAGAAAGATTAATTCAGGAGAGGCAGACATTATGATACTTTTTGCATCCGGAGGTAAAGAATGTGGACTTACTTCATCTGTGTCATTGGCATGACCTAGAACCTGTAAAGAAGGACTAATTTTCTTTCCTTTCCAAAAGCTCATGGAGACTACAGCCCTTTTGATGGCAGAGGTGGGGTCATAGCCCATGCTTTCGGACCTGGACTGGGGATTGGGGGAGACGCACATTTTGATGAGGCTGAAATCTGGACTAAAAGCTACAAAGGTAAGCAAAAAACGCAAAACAAAACAAAACAGAAAACAGAAAAAAGCAAAACCACACATGACAAACCCTTTACAAATTCTAAATTATCTCCCAATTTTGAAAGTCTTCATTCTGAGAAATGATTATAGGGTAGAAAAACTCATTCTGATTATAATTGTGTCACTAAGTAAAATGTAACACTTTGTCTCAATTTCATCCTCTATAAATTGAGGATATTGGACTACATTATCTTAAAGATCAGTTTTAAGAATCTGAGGCATAGCTAGTTCATTTGTGTGAATTCAGGAACCTTAAAAGCCACAGTTTAGAAAGGTAAAAACTGATTGAGGTGGTCCGTTTTTGGTGGGGCAGTCCATCAACTTGAGCCAACACAGATGCAGGTTCTGGGTGTAGCAGACCTCCTAGGGTAGGCGGCCATCTGCGTGGTCCATTATATGCCGACCATTTCTTTGATTTATAGTGACACAGAAAGATAGAGTTATGTTGTAGAAAATTTAGAAATCCCTGTATCAAAACACCAAGTTATGTGGTCACCTGGTCTTCGAGGTTCCGGGATAGGAATTACAGAACCCCCAGCAATTGTTCAATGATGCCTTGTGTGTATTTACAGAGGACGCTGTAATTAACCAGCCCTCTCCGACATTTGGGGGAGAGGGTAACCAGCCTCCCCTGTTTGGAGGAATCACCTCCCACTGGAAAATTCTCACCCTCCCATCACAATCCTTCCTAATGTTTCTAGGGGAAATTCTCAATTATATGACTGACTGATTCTAGATTATATGACGGTGAGTCAGAGACTGTTAGCAGCACTGATTGCTGGAAGGCCCTGGAAACACCTTTATGTGTCTATCTCTTTGAACTTGTTTCTATCATATATCATATCATATAATATGATTATATTACTTTCCATTTACTATGGAAAGTAAATGGTGAGAAAGTCTTCAAGAATGGGCTCTGTGGAGACCCCCTCTCTCTGGCTGAAATGGCCCCAGACAGGGCTGTTTCCATAGACCAGAAAGGCTCCTTGTTTTAGTCTGACCCATGACCCAAGGTTTATCAAATTCTTGATTGAGAAGAGGAGTTTTATATTGTCAAAAGACAACTGATGCAGAATTAGGTCCTCGTTGAGCTTCAAAGCCTCATTGATCAGGTTAAATTTGCTTACATTTCATCCAAGGTTACTTTGGGTATATAATCTTTTCATCTGATGTGATGGACTTGGGTTGGTTAACCTCATGAAATGTTTTAGAATTCTAAAGGATTTTAGGAAAAATAACATAGTACAGATCTTTACAGAAAGAGGAAATTCAGAGTAGGAGATGGTTAGCAGCCAGCTCGTGGAAAAGCTGGGGCAGAGCACACATTTCCTGGTTCACTTATTTTGACCCAGGGTGTACTTCCCACCTGTCCATGTTGCTTTGTTTTTATTTGGCACAATTTTGTCCTTTCAAAAAGCTAAATTATTTGTGAAAATTATAACTTTGAATGCTCACTCTCAGCCTAATTTTGACCCAGTAATTAAATGAACAGTTCCCTCAGTGGTTGCTGTTTCTGTCATGGCATTGGGTGATTGAGGAGCTGTGTGGATACAGAGACAAAGAGGACAGTCCCAACCCAGAAGAGCGCACAATCTAGTAGGAAACAGAGCACATGCAGAAACCCATGATCTGAGATAAGGGCTGATGGTGGTCTTTTGTGCAAAGCCTTGTGGGATTGAAAATAGGAGAAATCCAGGTTTAGGTCAAATTGTAATAGGTTGGGACATTTGACACATGTGGAGACATTTTGGGTTGTCCAAACTGGAAGGGATTTACTTGAATTTACATGTTGAGCCCAGAGTTTTCTAAACACCTGTGACACAGAGGACAGCCATAAGCACAAGGAATGATCTGGCCTACACTGTCAGCTGTGACGACATTGAAAAGCCTTGGGTCAGAGGGAAAGGAGATAAGTCAAGTCTTCCCAAATGTGTCCCTTCTCCTCATGCCAGAGTGCAGGTGTGTCATTGTCCTCGGACACAGACATATTTCACGGCTCTTTCCCCCCTTCCGGTTGGTTTCCTCTCAGGCACAAACTTGTTCCTCGTTGCTGTTCATGAGCTTGGCCATTCCTTGGGTCTTAGCCATTCCAATGATCGAAACGCCATCATGTTCCCAACTTACAGTTACGTTGACCCCAACACCTTTCGCCTCGCTGCTGACGACATACGTGGTATTCAGTATCTCTATGGTGAGTTGACTTTCTTTACCATTTTGCCTTACAAAGACACTCTTATGAATAATGTCATAGTATCTGCATTTGCATAAAAGGTTCACCTCTGTCTTCTGTCTGGAGCCCTGTGAAAACCCTGTGAGGGAAGTAGCCCACGCGTTACCTGAGTTTTGTGGAAAAGCACAGGAAACCTCCTGTGCTCATGCCCATGGCAGGAACAGAATCTGAGTCTCGGGCCTCAGGTTAGATCTTTCCATCCACCACAGTGTCATCTTTGGAGAAGGCACGCAGACAAACGATTGGCCTGGAACAGGAAAACCAAGGCGGAAAGATCTTTATCGTCTGCTTCCTGTGAATGTCGGAGGACGCATATATGGATTTTTATGCATTTTTTCATCCAGGAAATTAATGTTTTAGGAAGAATAGCTCTTCCTCTTCGTAGCTAAAATGCAGATTTTTTTCCCCTAATGCTCCTTGAAATGTATTTTCAGGACGTCCAGAAAGGCGCCAACCCTCATCAGATCCTGACGGTAGACAAACACCCACCTGCGACCCCAGCTTGAGTTTTGATGCTGTCACTACAATGGGAAATAAAATCTTTTACTTTAAAGACAGGTAAAAACATCTTCATATCTGACCAACATTAAAGGCTATGTCCTTGGATTGCTAGAACGTTCTGTCAGAGAATGGCGCAAAATGATGGAGAAGGAAGTAGAGGACAGTTGAGGAGGGACGTGGACTCGGTTCTGTAGGAAGTAGACAGCCTCGTGGCTTTGAAGGGAGAGAGTGGTGTGATCATACTTGTGTTTAACGAGAAGACTGATGGGTAAAAAATGGATTTGCAGAAGGAATATGGGGTGAGGAAAGACAAGGTAAGACGTGAAGCTGGACCACTTGAATCACAGTCAAAATGGTTACGTCTAGGACTAAAATCGGGACAGCACCAATTTAAAAGTCCTGACTCTTGATTATGGAGAAGGGAATTCCAGGATAATTAGAGCACAGATTGCAGCAGGTATTGGAGGGGTGGGGTGTGGCGAACATTAGAATTTGGGTGGTGGGACAATAGTCTCCATTTCTTAGACTGAGGACTAATTGGCGCACTCTGTTGTGTTCGTGTCAGGCGCGCAACACAGTAGTTGGGTGACCACGTACGTGTTACAAAGTGGTCTGGTTTCCTCCTCCCCATGTGGAGTTGTTACAGCGTCACTGACTCTGTTCCCTGAGCCGTACATTTCATGCCTGTGTCTTACTACAGGACTGAGGTTTGCCCCTCCTCATCCCCTCCCCCCGGGCAACCATCGTTTTGTTCTCTGTGAGTCTTTTTCTGTTTTGTTTGTTCATGTGTTTTGTTTTGTTTAGATTCCACATTTAAGTGAAATCGTGTGATGTTTCTCTGACGTATTTCATTTAGCGCGTGCTCTAGGTCCAGCCACACTGTCGCTGACGGCAGGATTTCATTCTTTTCTACGGCTGACACTCCTCGCGTGTGGCATCTTCCTCAGCCATTCATCTGCCAGTGGAATTTACGTCGCTTCCGTATCTTGGCCGTTGCTGTGAGCGTGGGGCTGCCTCTGTCTTTCCTAATTAGGGTTTGTTTGCTCTGGATAAGTTCCTGGAAGTGGAATTGTTGGATCGTATGGTGTTTCTATAGTTAATTTTTTGAGGAACCTCCAGACTGTTTTCCACAGTGGCCGCACCAGTTTGCATTCCCGCCGAGGGCACAGGGTTCCCTTCTCTCCGCATCCGTGCTGACGCTCACTCTTTCCTGTCTGATCCGAGAACTCTGACAGGTGTCAGATGACATCTCACTGTGGTTTTGAGCATCTTTGCAGGTACCCGTCGGCTGTCTGCACGTCTTCTCTGGAAGGATATCCATGCGGTTTGTCGGTTTTTTAAAATCAGATTGCTTAATTAAAAAAAAAAATTGAGTTGAGTTCCTTATATATTTTGGGTATGTCCCTTGCAAATACCCTGTCCTATTAGGTTGTTTACCTTCTCAAAGTGTTAATGGTTTCCTTTGCTGTACAAAAGTCCAAAAGCTTTTTAGTTTGATGTAGTCCCACTTATTTTTGCTTTTGTTGTCCTTGCTGAGGGGATGGATCCAAAAAAAGAAAGAAAGAAAAAGAAGAAAAAAGAAATTTCTAAAGCCAATGTCAAAGAGCTCATGGCCTCTGTTTTCTTCTAGAAGTGTGAAGGTTTCCAGTTTCTGCATTTAAATCTTCCATCCGTCTGGAGTCTGTTTCTGTGTGTGGTGTGAGGAGCTGGTGCAGTTTCATTCCCCTGCATGTGGCTGTCCAGTGTTCCCAGCACCATTTGTTGGCGAGACTGTCTTTTCCCTGTTCTCGGCTCCTCTGTCATAAATTAATTGACCATATAAGTGTGGGTTTGTTTCTGGGCTCCTTACTCTGTTCTGTTGATCTGCATGGCTGCTGTTCTGCTGATGCCGTCGTGTTCTGATCAGTTTAGCTGGGTTGTGTAGCCTGAAATCTGGGAGCGCGTTACCTCCAGCTCTGTTCTTTCTCAAGATTGCTTTGGCTGTTTGGTATCTTTTGTGGTTCCGTACAGGTTTTAGGACCCTTTGTTCTAGTTCTGTGAGAAATCCTGTTGGTATTGGATAGGGTTGCACTGGATCTGTAAATCACTTTGGATAGTGTAGACATTTTAACAATATCGCTTCTCGCAGTCCTGGAGCACGGTGTATGTATGTCCATTTGTTTGTGTCCTTTTCAGTTTCTTTCATCGGTGTCTTATAGTTTTCAAAGTCCAGATCTTTCACCTCCGTGATAAAATTCGTTCCTAGGTATTTCATTCATTTTGATGCAGTTGTAAATGGGATTATTTCATTAATTTCTTTGGATAGTTTGTTATTAATATATAGAAATGCAACAGATTTTGAGTGTTGATTTTATATCCTGCATCTTTACTGAGTTAGCTCACTTATTAGTTCTGCTACTTTTTTGGTGCCGTCTTGAGGGTTTTCTGATGATGGTACCACGTCATCTGCAAAAAACGGCACTTCCTTTCCAGCTTGCACCTCTTACCCCTTCCTCGCTGAGTTTCTGTGGCTAGCACTTCTGCTGCTACACTTGCCTAAAAGGGGCAAGAGTGGACTCCTTGTCTTGTTCTTGGTCTAAAAGGAAAAACTCCACTGTTCACCACTGAGTATGAGCTTAGCTGTGGGTCTGCCATACATGGCCTTTATTATGTTGAAGTGTGGTCCCTCTGTAATCATTTTGTTGAGAGTTTTTGTCATGAAGGGATGTTAAATTTTGTCAAATTCTGTTTCTGCACCTATTAAAATGATCATGATTTTTATCCCCCATTTTGTTAATGTGGTACATTGCCATGATTTGTGAATATTGAACCATCCTTGCATCCCTGGAATGAATCCCACTTGGTAGTGGTATATAACCCTTTTGATGTGTTGTTGAATTTGGTTTGCTAATATTTTGCTGAATATTTTTGCATTCATGTCCAAAAGGGATGTTGGCCTGTAATTTTGTGGGGGTTTTTTTGGCAGTATCTTTGTCTGGCTTTGGTGTCAGGGTAGTGGTGGTCTTGTACAATGAGTTTGGGAATAATCTTTCTTCTTCTTCTTCTTTTGAATAATTTGGAGTATTTTAAGTCTTCTTTAATTATTTGGTAGAATTCACCTGTGAAACTGCTTGGTTCTGAATTTTTTATTATTGGTAGTTTTTGATTACTGATTCAATTTCATTTTAGTAATGGGTCTATTCAAATTTTCTATTTCTTTCTGATTCAGTCTTGGAAAATTGTATATTTCTGGGAATTTATATCCATTTTTTGGTTACCCAGTTTGTTCACATATAATTGTTAATAGTAGTCTTTTATGTATTTCTGTGGAATCCGTTGTAACTGCTCTTCCATTGCTGAATTTACTTATTCGAGTCCTCTTTTTTCTTGATGAGTCTGCAAAAGGCTTACCAATTCTATTTATCTTTTGAAAGAATAAGCTCTTAGTTTCATTGATCTTGAAAATGTTTTTAGTCTTTATTTCATTTATTTCCACTCCAAACGTTATTATTTCCTTTTTTATAACTAACTTTGGCCTTTGTTTGTTCTTTTTCTAGTTCCCTCAGGTGTAGGGTTAGATTATTTATTTTAGGGACGCCTGCATGGCTCAGTTAGATCCTAGGGTCATGATCCTAGAGTCCTGGGATAGAGCAGGGATTCTGCTTCTCCCTCTCCTTCTGCCTCTCCCCCTGCTTGAGCTCTCTCTCTCTCAGATAGATAAAATCTTTTTAAAATAAAGAATATTTATCTGAAATTTCTCTTGTTTTTTTTGAAGTAGGCCTGCATCAATATGAACTTTCCTCTTAGAACTTTTTGCTGCATCCCCAAGATTTCAGAACGTTGTGTTTTCATTTTTACTTGCCCCAAGGTATTTTTTTATTTCTTTTTTGATTTCTTCATTTTTTCGTTGGCTGTTTAGTAGCACATTATTCAGTCTCTACATTTATAGAGTTTTTTTTCCAGTTTTCTTCTTGTCATTGATCTCTAGTCTCATTATTCTTCATTCTTGAGATTCAAAAACTGAGACATTTGGGATAAATAGGTTCTTTTAGATTACAAAACTGGTAAGGGAATTGTGGATGCAGACTAAAACCTATATTCCTTGATTTCAAATATCAGGGGATTTTCATAAGGTGACTTGACCATTAAATTATTGTTATTATTTTTTGTGTTTTTTTATTATGTTCAGTTACCACTGTTAACATTATTGTTATTATAAAAGAATTAATTGAGTTCATTCCTTGTGGTGCTCCTATCAAGACATCCTGGAACAGAACATGAGGATATTGGGGGAAAAAACCCATTAAGTCATTTCACAGGTCCTTCCCAGCGACCATTTCATGCTTCTTGAGTCTATCGTGATTTTTAACATGTGTTAAATGTCTTTCATCAGATTCTTCTGGTGGAGGTACCCTGAGAGTCCAATGAGCAACGTTAGTTTCATTTCTTCTCTGTGGCCGACCTTACCATCTGGCATTCAAGCTGCTTATGAAGTTGGACCCAGAAATCAAGTTTTTCTTTTTAAAGGTAACTCTAATGTTTCATTTGCTACTGAGCCTACTTCAAGGAAGAGAATAAATGAAGGAAATACTACTAATTTTTATAAACATAGAAAAAAGCACTGTAGACTTAATTCATGGTGAGTCTGAACTATGAGCTAAAAAGAGCTTACATACCTAAGTCATATGTAAAAATTTCAAGAGAAGTTTGTCAAATGTAAGATCATAATCCTTGTGGAAAAGCTATAGAACCGTAGGAGACAAAGCACGTTGGAGAGCAAGGAGCAGCGCGTTTCGGAACTGTGGTGAAGAGTGGTGTCGCCCGTACCGAGTCAGTGTTTCTGTTACCCTTTCAGTATGCGTCTAGCGGATCTTTTCTCTTTCTCTTCACAGATGATAAGTACTGGTTAATTAGCAATTTGAGAGCACAGCCGCGCTACCCCAGGAACATACATTCTTTGGGCTTTCCTGACTTTGTGAAAAAAATTGATGCAGCTGTTTTTAACCCACTTCTGTATAAGACCTACTTCTTTGTAGGTAACCAATACTGGAGGTGAGCTTGGTTGACTGGTAACGTGACTCCTCACATTCCTGAAACCGGCAGGGAATGGGGTGTTCGGTAGGTGGTCTTTCTGTGTAAACTCCCGAGGAGCCTCGGCCTTCCCAGGAGGGGAATGAGCAGGACGCAGATCCAGACTAGCTATTGTCACCCTAGTTCTCTTCCCTGCACTTCGGGATTCTGGTTTGAGATGGCGCTTTCAATAAAATGTCACGTCGCGAGTCACAGTGGGAAGCACACTGGGGAGCAGGGCACAGACAGACGAGACCCAGTGTTCACACAGTCCGTTCAGGGGCTGTGGCTTTCCAGATTCCTTTTTATAACCACTGGACCCAAGGAGACAAATGAGGAGACCGTCTTGTGAGGGGCAGTGAATCCCACAAGGTCCTCACCTACAGGGAATGGGACCATCAGGCTTCCTAAAGCCGGACCAGGCCCTGGCAGAGGCGTTGTGTGGACTGGGGAAAGTTCCTGACCAGAAGTCTGAGGGTCTGAGCCCTGTAGGGGCTTGGAATCAGTCAGTGAGCTAATTCGGTCCCTGGTTTTCTTATCGGTGCAAAGAGAAGCCTCTCAAAGGAGACTGAGTGGGTTTTGTGGTCGTGTCAGGAAATGCCGAGCTCTTCACCACAAGATCCGTGTTTCAAACGGAGGCTTACTGATGATTTCCTCGCTCAGGTACAATGAGAGGAGGCGACTCATGGACCCTGGTTATCCCAAACTGATTACCGACTACTTTCTAGGACTTGGACCCACAATCGATGCCGTCTACTATTACAACAGTAAGTAGATCGGGAAGCCATGAAGATACTGAAAATCCCTTTTTAAAACACGGATGATGATAAAGACTTCAAGGTCAGAGAACAGGGATTCAAATAGGAAAAGAGCAGGACCCTGTGGTTCGCTGTAGGGCTGCAGAGGGAAAATTCATAGCCTGCTTGGTGTAGCGCAGGCGGGCTGCAGGTTGAGTGACACAGCACAAACCCTTGGTTTCTAGTGTGGATTAGCGGGTGGGAGCGTATGATTGTCAGCCCCTGAGCGAGCCTTAGTTTCTGGAATGTCGGATAGCATCAGGGCGGGTGGCGTATGCAGGCGGGCGAGTGGCAAGACTCAGGCAAGCTGGGCTCGCGTTTTTTTTTACACCTCGCATCTTTGACCTTCCTTGCAGCCCCTCCCACCCTGCATGGGCCCTCGTCGACTAGGCCTGCGGGTGGGATACGAAACACTTGAGTCTGTTGGTGTCTGTGTCTGGGAATATCTTTAGGCAAAGTCAGCCAAAGCGAACGGTCAGCTGGGCCGAGGCATTTAGGTTTATTACCCCCCCCCATGTCTTTCTTACTCCTCCATCAAGACCCCTTTGTGCCCCACCGTGCCCAATTTCCTCCCTCCCAGGTGAGTTCTGCACCTGGAGTGCAGCTTTTCAAAATCACATCTTCAGAGTCAGTTTTAAGATGAAACTATCATCTCGATGACATTAATGAAGGTATTTAGTATTTAGTGGTGAAATGAGGGCCAGTAACCAGATATCCGGAGGCCCCCCACCCCGCGCAGGCCCCCAGCATCTACATTCTCAAATGTCTAGTATAGATGCTCTGTAAAATTCGGTCTTCTATAGATAACCCATAAAAGCACAGATCTGTGTTTTCTTCTTTTTCTTTAAAGAAATGCAAGTGAAGAATTAAACAACTCGATTTGTTTTCATTTTTAGGACACTACTATTTCTTCCAAGGATCAAACATATTTGAATATGATGTCATATACCAACGTGTCACCAAAGTGCTGAAACAAAATATCAAGTCAGGTTGTTAGGAATGGTGTAGTTGGTGATGGTCAGTTCCCTTCAGTCAAATAAGTATTTATTGCATCTTTGCTATGTGGCCAGTGTGTGTAATACCACAGGGACATGTGTCTTAAGGTAAAGCCTATAGGCTATAGAGAAACTATCATATAGACAGTGACTATAAAAACTACATAAGATTTTTTTATTTTGAAAACCCTCATTACGGGGTGCTTGGGTGGTTCAGTGGGTTAAAGCCTCTAGCTTTGGCTCAGGTCATGACCCCAGGATCCTGGGATCAAGCCCCACGTTGGGCTCTCTGCTCGGCGGGGAGACTGCTTCCTCCTCTCTCTCTCTCTCTCTCTGCCTGCCTCTCTGCCTACTTGTGATCTCTGTCTGTCAAATAAATAAATAAGTAATCTTTTAAAAAAATAAAAAGAAAAGAAAACCCTCATTGTCAACTTTTACTTGATTCAACTATTAAGCTTGGAAACAGGCACTTTATTGAGGGGCAACAGAATATCTTGGTCTTAGAACAACTGAGAACTGAGAAATGATCATTATTTCTTTGCCTTAACTAACATTAAGCAATGACTAGTTTCTGTGGCCATTAAATGCTTCAGCAAGTGTATCATTTCAATTGTTTCAGAGTAGAAACAGAATATACCAGAAAATGACATTTACTATAAGTAACATGGAGGTGGATTATATAATTATGGTGATAATGTTATTTATTTTGTCATCAGTGTTGATTTTTCTAAATCTTAAATGAAGTATATATGTATATTTTTTTCTTTTGATCCAATAAAAACTTTGAAAGAAAGTACTTGGTTTCTGAGAATTTTTTTTTTTTTATAAACTTATATTTATTTTTTCCCCAGGGGTACAGGTCTGTGAATCTCCAGGTTTACACACTTCACAGCACCCACCATAGCACATACCCTCCCCAATGTCCATAACCCCACCCCCCCTCTCCCAACCCCCCTCCCCCCAGCAACCCTCAGTTTGTTTTGTGAGATTAAGAGTCACTTATGGTTTGTCTCCCTCCCAATCCCAACTTGTTTCATTTACTCTTCTCCTACCCCATTAACCCCCCATGTTGCATCTCCTCTCCCTCATATCAGGGAGATCATATGATAGTTGTCTTTCTCTGATTGACTTATTTCGCTAAGCATGATACCCTCTAGTTCCATCCACGTCGTCGCAAATGGCAAGATTTCATTTCTTTTGATGGCTGCATAATATTCCATTGTGTATATATACCACATCTTCTTTATCCATTCGTCTGTTGATGGACATCTAGGTTCTTTCCATAGTTTGGCTATTGTAGACATTGCTGCTATAAACATTCGGGTGCACGTGCCCTTCTAATCACTACGTTTGTATCTTTAGGGTAAATACCCAGCAGTGCAATTGCTGGGTCATAGGGTAGTTCTATTTTCAACATTTTGAGGAACCTCCATGCTGTTTTCCAGAGTGGTTGCACCAGCTTGCATTCCCACCAACAGTGTAGGAGGGTTCCCTTTTCTCCGCATCCTCACCAGCATCTGTCATTTCTGGACTTGTTAATTTTAGCCATTCTGACTGGTGTGAGGTGGTATCTCATTGTGGTTTTGATTTGTATTTCCCTGATGCCGAGTGATATGGAGCACTTTTTCATGTGTCTGTTGGCCATCTGGATGTCTTCTTTGCAGAAATGTCT